ACACCCACCCCTTACCCCACCGACCCCCCCACCCGTCCCCCCCCCCCCCACCCACACCCACACCCACGCCCACACCCCACACCCCACACCCACACCCATGACTATCCGTGCTACTCGCAAGAAGAGAGTGTCTATTACAAACAGATAAATGTGCGCTCGTAGCTTTCTTGAGCACTTGTGTACTAAATGTTTGGTGTCGCTGTATCTGCAGTAATGAACGAGGATCTATGAGTCATTAATGAATCGATAATGCTCGTCTCTTTCTAGGGAGCAAAGCATGTTGTGTTAAAACATCGAATAAGATGTTCATTTCAGAGAGCTCTATTGGTATTTGACCGAATATGTCTTCATAAGAGCGGATTTGTTAATTTGTAAGGGTTGTCACGAATACAACACTTTCTAATCATTATCACGGAATTACACATTCGATTCTCTGCAAGATGAGTTAATCGGATCATTGTTAGCCCAAAATCTGGACATATCGGTAGTGCCTATAATGTCCTCTCCTTATATTATTAGTAGAAGAGTGTGGGTGAGTGTGAATATGTAGGCATGGGTGGGGTGGGCGTGGATGTCGGAGTGACTGGGCTGCTGGTGCCAGCGTGAATACAAGACTTCTTTTCATTGACATACACACCCACACCCACACCCACTCGCACACAAACCCATACCCACATTCACACTCAACAGCACCTAAACCCAAATTTACACACCCCATAACATAACAAAAAAAAGTAGCAAGTAGTTTGTTCAATTAATTGTTCGGTAAGGCCTGCAATGATTCTCTGAACGCTTGACATAGAATACAAGTGAATTAAAGTAGGTGTCTCCATTTCTCCTATTCTGCGTGAACAGTGAAAAATGGTGTTTACAACACACTGAAAGGAAAGGAAAGTAAACCTTTTTTTTCTGTCTGTCGCTTCCTTAAAACCTGAGGACGGCCGGAATCAGAGAAATTACATCAGCAATCGCGATTTGTTTGTCTTATTTTTCTCGGAAGCAATAGGAGCAACAGGGTGTGGGTGTGGGTGTGGGTGTGGGTGTGGGTGTGGGTGTGGGTGTGGGTGTGGGTGTGGGTGTGGGTGTGGGTGTGGGTGTGGGTGTGGGTGTGGGTGTGGGTGTGGGTGTGGTTATGGGTGTGGGTGGAGCGTGATTGTGCATGTGGGTGTGGGTGGAGTGTGATTGTGCATGTGTGTATGGGTGGGTATGAATGGGTGTGATAGACAAGAAAAAGCACACTCAAAAATACAGCCACAGTCACACCCCATCCCACCCTCACCCCCACCCGCACCTGCATACCCAACCCACACCGATACCTGCACGCACATCCACACAACTACACCAACACCCATAAATACGCACCCAAACCTGCATCTACAGCCACAGCCACACTCAACCCACACCGACACTCGCACGCACACCAACCCATACCCACACCCTTTCTAACATGCTGCATATTGCATACTAAAGATATATTCTTACAGTTGACATAAAATATTGAAAGATACTAATGTATATAATAAAGTTTATACTTTAATTAATTATAACGACTAAGATGGGGATTTATGCCAAAGTAATGGCCATTTCTAATACAGACATGGCCAATTATGACACAGATATACTGATTTGAGCCATAATAATGGTCATCTGTGCCATAGAAACGGTTTATTGTACTGTGGAAATGATGAACTGAGCCACAGAAACGGCCACCTCTATAATGAAAATGGCCAATTGTGTCAAATAAATGGTCGTCTATACCACCAAAGTGGTACTTTGGTACCATGAAAATGGTCACTTGTACCACGACTATGGTACTCTGTACCACAAAAAATGGTCATTTGTACCAAGTATTACAGACAGACACAGACGAACTTCCGTTTCTAAACCGTATCCTTTCAGTCTGGGAAATTGAGAAATGAGAATTTTTCAGTGACTCATCTTTTAACGGCACGTCATTGAAAGAAGTTGCTTAATGAAAATAGCTACTCCCACACATATTCCTATGTATTGACTCATTTCTTTCGTTTCTCCGTTGTGCGGCAGCAAAACATCTGAATCGGGAAATTTATTATGGACGACAGTCGAGCAACAACTCATGTTTTTACATCATTGTGTTTGCAACGTTATGGTCGATGAGTCATTCAAATAAAATGTCACTCTTTTTTTCTACATCTTTTCGAACGTATATAAACTCAATCTGCATTTCGCGTAGGTTATTTGATACTTCTTAGTTGATTCTTTAAAATAACCGTGGAAAGACAATTTCCAATTTACACTATTGAAAAAATTGTACGGACTAGAGATCAATTGGCACTATCGCATAGGTTTGACCCACTGACAGCCGTCCAGCAGAGAAATTATGAAAACGAACGAAAAACAGATGAGAACATCATTAATACATTGAAGACTCGTCAACACCCAGTTATTCAATAGCCCACATATTCGAATAATCTAGACGATCATAAGCCGACATCATCTCAATCAAATAGAAGAACAAAGAGAAAGAAACGTAAACGATGTTCTTGTAGAAGATCAAAGCGGTCAAATAGAAAATCCCTCTACGATGACGACTATGTCACTGATTGCTGTTGCTGTGTTACTCACGATAGCTTTGATTTTTCCAATAATACTGATAATAATAGTTACAGTAGTAGTAATAGTCATGGTAGTTGCAACAGCCATGGTAGCAGTAATGGCTGGTGTTGTTGTTGTGATGGCTGCGGTAGCGAAGATGGCTGTTGCTGTTGTTGCAGTGGTTGTGATGGCTGCGGTGACTGTAATGGCTGTGGCGACTGTGATGGCTTTGGTGACTAAGATGACTGAAGTAATAACATTTGACCGATAATTTTCTGTGTCCAGTTCTATCGTAAGTTTTTCAATAAACAGTTACCCATGAGGGAACCTCTTAACGTTCTAAAAGTTTCTTTTCTGACTGAGGATATGATGGTGCGATAGAACATATCAGCAAACGATATGTCGTATGGGAAGGAGGCGGTGGTAAATTACTGCTAGAAATAGTTATGAATTCTCAAGCTATTAACATAATTTTCAATTTTGTTCCCGAACTATAGTTTGTTGTCGACAGAGGAAAGACATATTAGGCTGAAACTATGACTATGTCCATTTATAAAATGTAGTTTTGATCGTTTGAGATTTTTCGCTCAAAAGAACAAAGTAGTAGAGAAAAAGAAAATTTTCACAATTCCTTTCTCAGGCGTTGCAGCTGTTCATGTTTTAATGGTTTGTATGAAAAAGTAAACTTCAAGAGATTTTGCCGATTACTCTAAAAGT